AAAATTAAACCTAAGATCGATTCTAAATGCAAATACCCGCCTTCAAACACACAGAAAAAAAACAGAAGCAGAATTTCAATAAATTAATATATTTTGTAACCCATCTAAAAAAATTTTACTTGCAATTTGATATTGAAGTAAAAACTTTGATAAATATTTACTTATGAAAACCACAAAAAAGTAAAAAATCTTGTCAAAAATAATATGAAAAATTATCATATCATTTTGTCACATTAATTTTTATTTCTGTGCATGCAAACAACAAACAAACAAATAGGACCGTAGGAGAAGGGGGCGGGGAGCGAACGAGAAGCGAGATGTACTTTGGCACTCAATTGAGCGGCCATTAGCAATAATACCAACAACAATGAGCACAACAACAGTACAGCCAAGACAATTTTAAGATTACAACAACACCGAGCAACAGGCACAGCAACAAATGACAATAGAATATGAAGTGTCTTCGCCTCTATTCCCCATCTCGCTCTTGTACATGGAAAATGGCCCCAATGCGCACGCCTGCCTGACTCGCTCGCTCTCCTACTCTTCTGCTCCACTGTCTGCTCTCTCTTCCTTCTCCTCTCCACCATAAAGCCATGCCAGAGCGAGAGAGCTGGAAAGTGGGGGCCGCTGGCAATGCGTTGGTGTGGGCGAGATAGCAAAAGGCGACGACAAAGGCGAGAGAGCACACACACACACTTGGCTTGTATTTCATTTGTGTGCATGTTTTTTTTTTTGTATTTTTTATAACTGCACGATAAGAGGACAGCAGCAACAACAATAATATTAATAATAATAATAACAAGCAGTCAGTAGCACTGCACGCAAATAATTTTTTTGTAATTTATATTTTTCAGGCAGGGGCCAACAAATAATTAAAGCACAATACAATTTTAAGGTAATTATTCTTTGAAAATAGAACTCAAATTGTCGAAACCTAAGAAATTTAAGTTTTTGGATGGACTATACAAAAAACCCCTAGTTTAAAATTGTGGGTATTGTATTATTTTCAAAATCTGTTATATATCCTTTTATCACGAAACTGATTTTGTAAATATATATATATGTACCTATGTACATACATTTATCAACGTAGAAAACCATTTTATGTTTTAAGTTTAAATTTATAAGCCAATAAAAATCTTGACAACAATTAAAACAATCCGTTGCATTTAATCTCTTTTCTTCAGCCTTCTACATATGTATGTATGTATGTTGTTTCACTACTATTAAACACATGTGTGTGTGATTGTTTCTCATATTTTCCTTGGAATGGGAAAAATCGCTTTTGAAACGTTTCGGGGTTGTGATCCTCAATTTCACCCCCCATCGACTAATAAACTCTTGACGAGCTGAGGATCCCCTTCCATGGCCCCATCTCCCCTCTCGCTCTCTACAAGGGTATCTCAAGGGTCAGCCAGTCAATATGCTGACAATGTGTTCTTGTTGTTGCCCGGCCTCATATGTCCTCTCTTTATGCGTGAGTTTAAGTGCCCTGTGTGGTGTGGTGAGTGCTGTGTGTGAGTCCATGTGGAGTGCTCACTATAGCCATTTAATAGCCAAATTCTATTGAAAAATTCTATAAGTACATATTCTACAGCAGGTGCACTTCCAGCTATTTTTGGATAATATGCAAAAAATCCAAATCCAAAAATTAAAAACCGTATTTAGCGATCTTAGCTACGTATACCTTCTCCAAAAATCTATTATCTATCTAAAAAAAAAACAAGTTTTTAAAATTGCATTTAACATAAATATATAAAAATACTATAGGACAAACTAGGTTTTTTCTGGTTTTTTTTATTTGATATATCTGTCGGGACTGGCAGCACTGGCTCTGCACCAGTGTGGGTGAGCGAGTGAAGGAGTGAGAGGTTCGGGGACTTGAGCCTGGGATTTTGATGGGTATGGGTATATGGTGGTATTGGACCTGGCCTTTAGGGATGGGGCTGCATATTAATCGAGTCGAGTCGGATCGAATCGAAATGAAATGACGTTCGGCAGAGTTGAGGGTTAAGGAAGAAGGAGGAGGGGCAAAGGGAGGGGGAGAAAAAGGAGGAGAGTGAGGATTGAAGATTGAAGAGTTGCCTTTTTTTTGGAGGTAGCGGTCGCTACGCTTGGTCTTTTACTCCTACTCCTTCTTGTCCCCCTCCTTCTCCACCTTCACTCGGCTTCTTCTTGCTGCAATGGCGTCGGGACAAACACAAATACACACAGGCTAAAAAAAACACAGATCAAAATAAAACGACGACGTTGTTGTTATCGCCTTGGCAGGAAATGGAATTATATTCGTAAAAAGTAGTCGCCGTTTTTCGATTTGTAAGTGTAAGTGAGCCTCTCAGCAGGAGAGGGAAGCGGAGAAGGGAAGGAGTGGATGGTAAAAGAGCTCAAAGAGTGAAGGAGTTTGTTGAAACGTAATACTGCTGATTACGACTGAGGATTTCGATATAACAAACTAAGCACATTTTATTTTTCTGCCTGAAAACAGAGAAAGAAAAAAACAACGAAGGGACGGGCAAAAATATATGTACAGTGGGTATACTCTGAATTAACTTTTCTTTCAAAATGTATATTTTGTTAAATAAATATGTATTAGCTAAAAACTTTTTTGCATTGAACAGAGTTCTATTGTTCTGTATCAAAATAATAACAAGTTAGTTACATAGGTATGTACAATGCAAAATATATACAAACAGATTTTGTTTTCTTCGGTTTACTGTAGTGAACGTGCACTTTAGGATGCACACTTGCACACAGTTTTATATTTCATAATAAAATCAAGAAAAAGCCAACAAAAAGAAAAATTAAAAGTTATGCGAAAAGTGAATATATTGAGTTGCAGCTCTTTTCTCAACTTTTCGGTCCTCTATCTCCATTCTTCGCTCCCCATTTCAACCAACTGAAATTGCTCAAACAATGTAAAGCGATCCGAAATAAAAGCTACGATTATACAAAATGTTTTATAAATCCACTATCACTACATTGCGTAAATTTTGCCACCCAAAGAAATGAGGAAACAAACTATGTATGTACATCTGTATGTATATTTAAGCGATAATGTAAATTTGCCTTTACATCTTTCAATCCAATGGAGCGCACCTTATCATTAATATGTATATAAATATTTTTTTTTGTAAGCCACAACTGCATATAAATCTTATCATATCCCTAGAAACTATTTAAATAAATAATTGTATGCATTTATTTAAAAGTCAAATTTATAAGTTGGGGTACGTTGATATTTTTAATATAAAACTGCGATTACGACAATGGTGTCGCCTGGAAAAGGTTGCGCTGATGCAGCAGCAGTTTCTATGTTTGTGTTGCGCCCTTTCGCTTTCGGCAGCAAAAATGTTGCTGCTCTCACAGCCAGCCAAAAACCAGCAAAAACAAAAACGCTGCGTAATGACAAAAAAAAAAAAAACGAATTTTCCATGCGAATAATCGTTGCTCCCTGTCGATAATCGATAACAAGCAAAGTTCATTCAACACGTATTTTTGCAACTTTATCGGACGTCAACCTGCCTTGGCCCTATTTCTTGTTGCTATTTGTTTTTCTCCATGCTCTCTTGTTTTCCTTTATTTTTTCGTTCTACTTGACCCTTTGGCTTTGCATTTTAGTTTACGCAAATTTGCAAAACAGAACAGAACAACAAGAAAATCAAAACAAAAACCAACGGTGCCTCTTTTTCCTCCCTTTTGAGTTCCACGAGTTCCACTTCTCCAACTCTTTTTGACTCCTCTCTTTGTCAACCGCATGACAAAAAAAAAACTTTGTACGTAACCGCAGCAGCAGCACAGCAGCAGAGCTCTTAAGTTGGCTCATTTGAGAGCAACTTCCAGCACGGGCACAAAAAAAAAAAAAAAAAAATAAAAGAAATAATATAATATATAACAGAAATCACTAAAAACACAAAAATCCAGCCAAACCCGGAACTTGATTTAATCGAATTTGTTGTCGATCAACAGCTGCTCTGCCGACGTCGACGTCGCTGCCAATATAACACGCACACAAATACACACATGTACAGTAAATGATCACGAGTGTTATTGTTGTTTTTAATGATGCTGCTGCGATGACGCCAATTGTAACAAATAAATGTGAAGGGAAAGGAGGGAAGGGAGAGCGTATAAGGGGAGAAAATGAAAGGATGCCCCGCCCCCTTCCCCAATACACTTATCAAAAATCCTTATCAGTCCATTATTTAGTCCACTTTACAGTCTGTCGTTTTTTTTTGCCTCTTCTTTTTTCGTTTAGTGAGTTGACAAACCGAAATAAAAATTATGAATCAGCTTTAATAAATGGGGAATAACAAACAACAAATGCAAGTGTAACGAAACGGAAATATAACGAAATGAAAAATGGAAAACAAGTTATCGAAATTAAGCAAACGATGCATACTGCTTTTTACGACACAATACAAAACGGCGCAAAATGCAACTCCCAAAATAAATAAACTTAAAAAAACATGTGGTTTATGCATGTTTTAAGTTGCCGACCTAAAAATATTAAGTGCTTTATTACTTAAGAGAAAACATTTGATCATTGACAACTATTAAAAAAAGTCATGTGATTTAAAAAAAGTAATCCAAATTTAGTAAAATAAATTTTAAAAACTTAAATAATAGGTTTTTGTTTCTAAAACCCAAACAAATGTATCTACATATCTTAAAGCAATTCAGAATCAGTTTTGTATGAATTGACAAAATACGAAACATTTATTTACTTATGTATACTGTATATGTGAGAAAGAAATGTTTATAAATCTTTTTAGTAATCTACCTTTTTCTTGCTTAGTAAAGTAAAGTGCAGATTAACTCAGTTTTTATTTTTATAAGCATATGTACGTATCTTTATAAACATACGTTATTTAATAAGTTTATGTTCCCCATAACAAAGAACTCCCAGGGAAATAAATAACAAGGTATGAGAGACGAAAAAAAACATTATTGTTCAGCGGAAGAACTTATATTTCGGTGAAAGAACTTAAAAAACTTACCGCCTGGAATATGTCGCCGCACTCGAAAAAATGCGAATTGACCACTGCCGTAGATTTCTGCACTATAGTAGCAGACATTTTGTTGGTCTTTTTAACAAATTTTGAACTTGATTTTGTTGTTGTTGCTGCTGCCTGTTGATTTTTTTCCACTGGACAAGACAAAAAATTCTTTTTCTTGTTTTTTTTTTCGTTTAGTTTCTATATTTCTTTTTTGATATAGGTTTAATTTTTATTTGCTTTGCACTTGAATGTTGAATTATGTTGTTGTTGTTAATGGTTCCGCGAATATTGCATTGCAACAATAAAAAATCAGCTAAAAGAGTGAAGAGAGCGTGTAATTAGCAGTGAACGATCGAAGAGAGGGGAGAGCAAGAGAGTGAACCAAATTACACGTGCTGTCGTAAGAGCATCAATGCGCGCATGTGTGCGTCAGGATATTTTTCACGCACATGTGTAAGACGAAGGAGAAAAGAATATTTGCTTTGCTTTGTTCCTTTTTCCCTTTTTTATATATATTTTTGAAACAGCAACAGCCGATGTCTGTTTTGCGTGTGTATGTATGGTGTTGTTTGCTTTGCTTTTATCGTCTTCGTTTGCGTTCTCAAAAAGCAGAGAGATAAGCTTGCGCTTCGTCCCTATCCCTTCCTTCCCTTTCTTGCCCACCCGCTTTATTTCAATGCGTCTGTCTGCGCGATCTCTAGTGGTGGTCGTATCACAAGTCTGTGTGTTTGTAATTTTTATTTTATTGCTGCGCCAGCAAACTCAAAAACAACCCAAAAAACAAGGCAGCAATTGTTGTTGTTGTTTTTTGCCTGTTGCTTCGCTTGCTTGTTCTTTTCTGTTTGAGGTCCTGGCGACTGCACACATGCGCACATAAAAGAATCGAGTGAATGCTTATTTGAACATGTTGCTCTCATCCAAAATTTTGGTTTTACTATTTCGATTTTACTATTGTTTTTGCACCTTTAAAAAATAAGCAAAAAAAGTAGGCTATCGCGAATTACTGTTATTTTTTGAAATCAAATTTAAAACCCCGGCACAAGGAACGCGTTTAAACTTCCAAAAAAAATGAACTTCACTATTGCACAAGCACAATTTGCGTTAAAATATATTGGTTTTTTAATAACTCGCTAATTACTTTATATACGGGCGCAGAGGTCCTGTCACTCTTCGCTCGTTCGCAAAAACCACAACAAGAAGAGACGCAGCACGTACGTCAGACAGCCAGATCGAATTCGGAACAAATAATCGAAATAGAGCTGCTAAACAATCAGTTCGGCAAGCGTATTATCGATTTTTCGTTGATGCTCTATCGCAACATCGATATTTCAAAGTTCTTCATCGATATTTTGATTTTTCCACCAACCAGGGTGGGTGCCACTGCTTAGTGCAACGGATTGCCTAAAAAATCCGGTCCGTCCTTGGTTAGATTTATGGAATATAGCAACAAACTCATATAGCAACAAACTGGTTGCAACCTCGGCTTAAACTGCTTGTAAAAGGCTGCAAAACTGTAATTTTGTTGAAGCAGTTCGTTTGATAATACAATTATTTTTTAACTTATCAGAACTAATCCGCTTAAAATTCTCTTTTTTTTTTGAAAAAGGTCTGGTTTTACCCAATATTAAATTGAGTGGTCAACAACTCATTTCCCTTAATCTAAACATTTTTCTTATATAGTTGTTGCCATATGCCATATATAAACATACACTGCAATAAATGCCATTGCCTAAAAAAATTGATTTCGAACGGATTAGTTATCTGTAAACCAAATGCAAATCTTGTGTCGATTGTTAATATTTTTGAGATAAAGTTCCCTGACCTACACTTTAAAGTTTGTGCTCAAAATTTAGTTATTGTCTTAAAATATAACAAAGCATTCTAATTTTAATTAGAAGATCAATTTCAGAGACATAACTTTTTCTTAAAACTTGTTATGCATATGTTTGCATTTATTATCAGTTGCATCTGAAGTTGAATTGCTCTTATCAGCGCTGCAGTACCCTTTGCTTGGAAACGGGGTGCTGATGACGATGGGTCAGTGGTGCAGTGGTGCAGTTGACATCCCATCGAAGTCATTGGCGGCACGTACATACATATAGTATATTCAATATACAACTCAAGTCGTACACAAACAAATGGCGTACGTGTCATAGCTCAACTACGATGAATAAAATAACAAAGAGCGGCTAATAAACGTATTGCAGCTAGTTTTCGTTAGTGGCCTTTGCTTTTGAATAAAACGAACCTGGAAACAAAAATTTCCTCTTTGGGAATTGGATTTAGAAAACACATTGAAACCAGTTTTAAAAATCCTTATTTTAAAATTCGTATAATTTTAATAGAGAGAGCAAGTAAAGAGAGCTAATTATAACCATTAAGAGCTGTACTGAAATTAAAAAAAAAAGGCAGATTAAAAAAATCTTAATCCCAATTTTGACCAAAAAATTAAATAAATTCTTTGCATTTAAAGATACAAATTAAATCGTGTTTCTGTGACTACAGGTGAATTTTAGTCTTATATATGTATCCAAAATAATGTTAAAACAAACTCAGCTATTGTTTTTGTTAGGCATAACAAAAAAAAGTATTTTTAATAATTTTGAAAAATTGATTAACTAAGCTGATTATATTATACACTTTGATTAATGAATTACAAACCAATACAATTAAAATTTTAAAAATATAACTAATAGATAACTAAATCAAACGTACTGCTCTTCTCTCCCTTTCTATCGCCCCATCTCTGTCTAATGCAGACGTGAACAGCTCCAAGTCGAAATTTAATTTCAACATATTTATTGATGTAATTCAAAAAATTAAATATAAGTTATGTGTATAATTATTACTGCTTACTATGCAAAATTACTTTGCAGTTTTGCGTTCTGTTGTTGTTGTTTTTTTTCCTTCATTATAATTATTATTATTATTTGTTTGTTTTACTTGTTTACTTGTTGCTGGTTGTATTTTATTACTTTCCCCCATCTCAGTTGGCTTTGCTTGGTTGTTTCTTCTTTTCCTCTCCACTATTCTGCATCATTTTTTTTTGTTTCGCTTTTCTCTGTGTATTTTATGAATTTTTTTTATTGTTTATTCTTTTTTGTTTCTTATTTATTCCAGTTTAATTAGTTATTGAGTTTTGCGTCGCTCGATTCATAACTAAGCATTGGAATCGATTTGACGTGAATCAAATGGGATATATGCATACATATATGGTGTTTATTCGCTTATATATATACATATACATATATATCGGTTTAGTTTTCCTTCGCTTTACTTCACTTCTCCAACATTACCATTATTATTTTATGTAATTTATTAGGCTAAGTGTTGATTTCATTTCTCTTATTTCTTTTGGGCAATGATGTTCGCTTTTTTTGTTTTTTGTTTTTTTTTTTTGAGTGGTTGAATGAGAGTGGGTGTTTTTTTTTTTTGTGGGTGAGTGTGAATTTTGTGTGAGTGTGTGTGTTGTGGATTGCAAATTGATTTAAATCGAATCGATTTGGGGTAAATTTTGTGTGTTACTATTGATCGCAGTGATTCAATCGCGAATCACATCTGCTGGGTTATCTTTTAATTTTATTAATGTGTGTGTGTGTTGCTTTACTGCGCTGTTGCTGTTTTCATTTGCTTTGCTGTTGTTCCTTATTTGTTTAGTATTGAATTTAAATTAATATTAAGAAACATCCAAACGCCCGCTGCTGTTGCTCAATCTTCCGGTTGTGTCTGCTTCGTTTTCTCTTCTTTTATCTCCTTCGCTTCTTGCCAAGCCTTCCTTTCACGTCCACGTCCGCGACCGCCTCCCTCTTCCTATTCTTCTGATGAAATCCCCCGTAAGTCATCGTAAACCTCGCTTCCAGGCCGATCATCTCCAGCCTTTAGTCCGCGATAAGGGGCTTGCCGTTCTGCTTCTCCTTGTCCTTGTCCAATTGCTCCAAGAGAATTGCTGGATTGGGCTGACCCTGGTGGGTCTTCTGCTTCAGCATTGTCCAGTCGTAGATGTAGTCATACTGATGGTTCAGCGTTCTGAACAGTATGCTGTGGTGAAGATGGAGAAAGTCGGATTAGACCATTACATCATCGCGCAATAAAAAAAGCTATGACTAAAACACATTGAAAACCTGGTTAAATGTGATGCTCATTTGAAATTAAATATTACAACCTGTACTATGATCTTATAAGTTGTTAGATGTTTATATTTATATTTGTATATAACTATTTGGGTAAGCTTTAGGAAATGTTTTTGTAAATTATCTATGTAAACTTTGATATTACTGATATCATTCGGAGGGTTTTTCGATGACAAAATTCGAAAGAAGCTTCAAAGAGATATCTTTTAGTAGACGGAAAGAGTATCCAAAAGAATAAACTACAATTCAAATCGAGTTAACAAAATCGAAAACCCAAAAATAGCATGAAAATCATTCAGTTGGAAATCCTGAGTACACCCGAACTGTAATAAGGGGAACAGCTTGCTTACCGGAACAATTGACGAAGGTACATGTAGTCCGGCTGCTCCTCGAAGCGCAGGCTACGACAATAGTTCAGATACATTGAGAACTCGGCCGGCGAGCCCTTGCAGAGGACCTCGATGGGCGTGGACATCTTCTTTTCGGAGATCTTCTCGTACTTCTGCTGCTTCGTGTTGGCCTTCATGCCCTGCCAGGGCAGAACGCCGCGATTGAAGTACATCATCACGTAACCGAGGGACTCCATGTCGTCGCGGCGCGACTGCTCGATGCCCAGATGGGCATTGATCGAGGCATAGCGGGCGGTGCCCGTAAGGTTCTTGTCCTCGCGGTACAGGATGTGAGTGCGCGTGTGCGGATCGCGGAACTTCTTGGCCAGCCCGAAGTCGATTAGGAATAGCTTGTTGCAATGCCTTCCGATGCCCATGAGGAAGTTGTCCGGCTTGATGTCGCGATGGATGAAGCACTTGAGATGGATGTACTCCAGGCGTCCGATCATCTGATCGACCAGCATCAGCACCGTCTTGATGGTGAAGTGGCGCGTACAAAAGTTAAACAGGTCCTCCAGCGAGGGTCCCAGCAAGTCCATGACCAGGGTATTGAAGTTCTTCTCCTTGCCGTGATGGCGAATGCGGGGGAATCCCACGCCGCCGCTCAAAATGCGGTACAGCTTGGCCTCGTACAACAGCTGCGGGTGGCGGGCGTGGGCGCTTTCCATCTTGATGGCCACCTCCTCGCCGCTCTGGATGCTCATGCCCAGATAAATGTCGCCAAACGAGCCGCTTCCTGTGGGTCAAACATACATAACAGTTTAGAAACTTTCTCTGGCAGCCTTTCGCTGTGCGTTTTCTTCACTTACCAATCTTTCTGATAACCCGATATTTGCCACCGACAATTATCTCGGGGCGACTTTCCTTCAATATCCTCATCTTGTCCATCCTGGCTAGCTGCTCCTCCGCCTAGGGGCTTCTCCTCAAAAGCAGTTGTACGGTATCACTTGAAAGACTGCAAGGAGATATGTTTTCATTGGGGCTTTAATACAGATGTGTATTATAGTTCTCATGCCGCTCCAAATGCACTTCACATTAAGTTTTTACTCTAACACACGTTTGTTGAAATACAGTACTATCATTTATAAATCTATAATTCTTCTGTTTGATTGGGATTCTCAGTAAATCATGAGGAATAAACCAACACTTTTCCCTATATAAATAAACAATCTAAATGTGTGTTTACTGCCACGTAAAGGGAAACTATTGCAGGTTTTGTGAATTACAGGAACATCAGAGATTGAAAAATTGTGTATTTTAAAGCCATTAACAATTTCTAAAGAGCTTTATTAAGATGTTTAATTCTGAAGGGCAAATTGGTTGACACAAACAAAATACTTCAATGGCAATATTTGAAACTCAGCTGTAAGAGCTTCAGCTTGAGAGAGTTTCATTTCAAGAAACCTTTAAAGATGACACCAGATGACTAATAACAATAACAGAGTCTAGTGAAATTGGAGCTATTTGTGAAGAGGCTAACGATTCGTAATTTGAAATGAAAAGTTATATGAGTTTTCATTTCATTTTGCAGTTCTTATAAGACATGTGCACTGTATATTGTTGAGTCAATTTTGGAGAGTATAGGAAAGGCCTCTGTTAAACCGCAACGAGTAACCATTAACCATTATAAAACTGGAATCGGATTTGGGGATTTACGAACCAGCTGACATAAAACTAAACATTAATATTACTTAAGCTGTTTTGCTCGTCTGGTCTGTACTTTCTTTTCCACCTCGCTTCTTCTTCCTTTGAATTTGTTTTGCTTTTTTTCCACAGCTTGCACTTTACGTGTTTATTTTGTGGCCAGTCCAATCGATACATCTGCATTATCGATTACACTCGCCAGGCGATCCCCGTTTCAAGGGGGTCGCCCAAGGGGAAGGGGCATTTTTCCTTAGGGAGGAGGGGGAGTTTCCAAATAAACACAGACAGACATCGATAAACGATAGATTGGCGACAGGTACTGATTCCTCTTCTTTCTTACCCCGTTGGAATGCATATTACACACATACACTATCTGCTATGACGCACAACAACAACAACATCAGAGCGATACACACACACGCACACAACTGCAGTTGCACCTTACAAATGTTTTACACAAAAGAAAATTTCGAAGGCACACAAACACACAGTCAGACACACCGACGCACGCACACATTCAATCGCTCAGTGAAACACGCACACTGGCAGAGACCCACACTCACACACACATGTTAGCATATTTAGCACGCATTTGAAACTGGACGAAATGGTACAAATTAAAGATCCTCGCGGATTTTCAGGTGACATTATCGGTCCATATTTTTAACTCTCTTACCAGCAGACGGAGAAACCAACAAATTTTATGCCCCGCTGGGTGTTTCTCAAGGTTGGCTCTTTTTTTTTACAAATATATTCGCTGCTGCGCTGCTTTTGCTCTGCTGCTGCTGGTGGAGAAAAAAAAAACGGTACGGGGAAAATTTCGTCGCAGATCCGTTTTCGTTTTTTCTTCACTTTTGCGGGCGTTTCGCAGTTCGTTAAGTTATTACACGCGCGGCCGTTTCGTACCCAACTCGTACGCGCACAAACGGAACAAAAAGAGAGGAAATATATGTATTTTATTAACTAAAATAAAATGGTAGACTCCAGCAAAAATGCTTTTGCTTGACAGCCAGCGCTAGTGTGGCCAGAGCTCTCGGGGGCGATTGTGTGCTTGTGTGGGTGCGTGCCGATAGTAGACTTCCTCCTACTATCGACGGGCATGCCTGACGCCTTTCAACACTGCCACTTGGCGCTAGATTTGAATTAATCAAAAAATACACACAGAAGTGTATGTGGAGTTGTAATGAGCCACGAATGTCCAATTAATGTTGTTTTTATTTTTGAAGGTGGGAGGATTTAATATTGCGATACTAAGAACGTTTATTTTAAGTTTTTACAGCCACGGCCACCAAATAATATAAATAAAACTAAACTTAACACAATCTAATAAAGTTAAATAATGTTTTTCTTACCAAAACCAACAATCCAATAAGACGCCATAGTGCTTGTTTTTTGGTCTATATATTTTTATTAAAAACAGTTTTTTTTGGTTGGTTTTTCTCTTTCAGTTTTTTTTGTTTTTGTGAATTTTCGGTTTTGTTGATTTTTTTTTGTTTTTGGTTTTCGGTTTTGTAAATAACGTGACGACTTGAAAACAGAAATTAAATAAGTGTACTTTACTCGTAATGTAGTAGAAAGTGTTATAAAAGCAATATTACAATAACTGTGGTAGAATTGGCTCCTAAAATAGATATTTTACAACTGATACCACTTCTTGTCTTTATATTTAAGCATTAATTGATGCGCAGTGCCGCTGAAATCTTGAGCAGTGTTGGCCATGCGCTCGGCGCGCTCCTCCAGCAAATTGAGCTTCTCGCCGCGCTCCATGGCCAGCTGGTGCGCCCGGCTGATCTCCGACGCGGCGGTGGAAGCCCGCTGGCCGAGCTGATCCAAAGTGGCCCCGGGTATGTGCCGGGCCACCGATCGATTCGGCTTCCCACTCTGCTCGCCAACTGCCCGATTCAAAGATGAATAGTTAACTCAATGACAGCCCAGCTTTATCTTTCTATAAACTCACATAGCTCCTCGCGATCCAGGAGCTTGGCGCCGCCGCCAAAAAGACCCTTGAAGAAACCCTCCTTCGGCTGTTCGGGCATTTCGTGTACCGTATATAGTTCACCCATCATCTCCAAAATAAATTGACTGCAAAAATAGAAAAAGATTAATAAAATAACAAAAGTACAGTTTTATTTAGATGATTGTTAATTTGTTTATAATATATCTAAAGCCATTAAAACTTTAAGCTTACCAAAATTCCGATGATATCGTGAATTTTTGAATTTCGGTGGGCGATGCCATGTACAATCCATGACCTTTATGACTAAAGCAAAATATTTTTGATATTCTGTGGAACAAAAACAATATAATTTGAAAAACCTTAAGGAATCAGTTAAACTTGTAACTTACTGAGTTGTATCTTCATGAACAATGATCTGTTGACCCCATATCGAAAGCATTGGATCCACAATTCCCTGTTTACATTTTGTTTGAAAACTAAACAGAGGAGAGAACATTAGTCTGGGGAGAGCAAATGTAACTTTAAAAGTCAGGTCTCACCTTAGTTCCATAAGCGGTAAGAAATCAGTATCCAATAACAGTTTTAGACTAGGAAGACTATGTACCATTAGATGGCCATTCGAAAGATAGGTTGCTAAGCAAGAGCCATCTGAAAAGAAGGATTAAAAAAATTATGAATAATAATTATCGCAAAACGTGATATTGATGGAATATGATAGAATAAATGGTTAATTGACAAATAGATGGATTCTTGATTAAAGGGGAATTTATAAACCTTTCATCGTGATAGTTTCTGCCTTGACTGCAAAATCCATTTCCGATAATTGTATGCGGTTGATGCAGCACTGGTTGGCCACATCGAAGACTTTTGTTTGCTTCTCGCTAGCGATAACGATGTATTGTCGATCGGTGAGGGTTTCCAAGCCGGTGCTGACGCTTCCGCTGATGCCGCTGCTGCTGGCGCTGCTGCTGCTCATCCCACCACCGGTGGCCGCTCCACTGCCGCTGGCCGCTCCGCCGAGTGCCGCTGCACCACCGCCGCCACCGGCTGATGCTCCGCCACCGCCACCGGCGGCTGATCCGCCCGTCGCACCACCGGCTGCACCGCCGACAGCTCCGCCGGCAGACGCACCACCCGCCATGCCGCCAGCGACCGAAGTGTTTGATATTGTATTGGCAGTTGTCGGTGTGAATGTGGGACTGGTGCGGCTGCTGCTCTTTGTGGGTGTGCCTTTGGTCAGGGAAAATATTAAGTATCTTAGTTAGTACGATGATCAGATATGCGGCTGCTCAGGTCTTACGGTCTTTGTTGTCCCTTTTCTCGTCACGCCAGGTCTCAAACGTATAGGGTATGATCGAACCGTATGAGTCTAAAAAAGACATGGAAGTTATGGATCCTTTAAGTCGTACCACGGGGCCACCTGGAAAGGGAATAGATATATTTGATTTTTAATTTCGATTCAATTCACTTCTTAAATAAATTACAAATTATTAACCATTTAAAGTTCATAAAAAGTAGTTCGCATAGTTATAACTACAAAAATTCAAGAAGAAAGATTGATCTTATAAAATTATAATAATACTAGTTTTGATAAAGAATTTCTAACAAACTTTTTAAAACAGTTAAGCAGAAACCCACTCAAACTCAAAACAAATATTTTATTTGGTTACTTTACCATTTATTGTAATCAATACTGGCTGAGATTTGCGCACATCTCGCTCCGGCATGGTGATGAACAATGTCAGTATCGAACCGAAACTAGTTCCAATCCACAAAGTAGGAACAAGTGTCAAAATATCTGTGATTTTAAGGAAAACCAATTAAACGAAATATAATATCATCAATAGGAAATAACCGTCAATAAGTCTTACCATTTCGTTTTGCATAACTCTCGATAAAAGCTAAGCAGGTAACAGATTCAGAGGAAGACATATCAATGCTGGACATTGACGATGATCTGGATCTTGAGAAAGTTCCATCCAATTTATCTGTAATTTATTTGGGGTTTGTTTTGGGAATCAGAAATTGGTTTGTTGATGGATGGCATATAAATAGAAGAAAGAAAGAGAGAGATAGATAAAACAGTTACATCAAAATCGTTAGAAACGTTCATAAATATTGTGAAACAGAGACAGGCGGATATAGAAATAGAGAGAGAGAGAGAGAGAGTAGAGTGATAAAGAGAGAGAGAGAGAGAGAAAGTAAAAGCGGCGGGCGGTAGTAGGCAAAACTTTTGCTTAGAGTTTTAATCGAATTAATGCTTTATTATCTAATTATTTATTATATTTGCGATTTTTGCACTATGTTGTTTTTGCCCTGCACAACACTAAAAATACCGCTAGGCTGCCTAATTTTAGTGGGTTGCTCTATGTGTGATTTGCATGTGTATGTGTGTTTATTAATGTTTACATCAGTCGTTCGTAGGATTATTTTAAAAAGTAGTTTTAATTTAAAACTTAATATTATTTATACATTTTGTTTTTTACCATGAAAATTAGTTTCTTGACTTTTAACAAAGAAAGTACATTACTCCTTCGTATAGACTGCAATTTTTTTCATTTAATTATTTTGTGTGATTAAAAACAATTTCCTGGTTTCTTCATCTACGAACGACTGTTTCTTTTATTTGTTGTTTTTCTTGTATTTTTTTAAGTGATTTTTCATTGAGTTTTTTTGCTGTGAGTGCAATTTCGGAAGCAGCAGGCGTCTGACTAGTAACGAAAAAAACTCACGAAAAAAAGGACGAGTGAAATTTCTTGCATGTGTGCTTAGCTATGTATGGGTGTGTGTGCGTGTGAGTATGCATGTGTGTGGACTATGCAAATTTTAAGTTTCTTCCAATAAAGTCAGATTTTGTTGTACTACTTTTCCATAATCTATATAGAAATCCGGTTAGTCTTATTCTTGGTTTAGTTATTCGGTTTTAACATTTGTTTTTCTGGTTCAAAGCGTGCCAAATGCAAATACAAATACCGAGAGAGAGATAGAGAGACAGAGAGCGAAAGAGATAGATATAGTGGGAGACAGGAGCAGAGAGGAGGAGGAAAAAGAGAGAGAGTAATAGTAGAGAAAAAGAGACAGCGAGCAGAGAGCGAACGAGCGAGCGAGACAGATAGAGAGAACATATTCATATGCACTGTACTGTTATAACTAGATTGTTTTTCTAGGGCTAAAGAAAGAGAGAGACAGAGAGAGCGAGCGAGCGAGCGAGAAAGAGACAGACAGCTCCAGCCATCGCCCCCCTCAAAAAATCCCAAAAACATTAGAGAACAAAAAATGTAAATAAAAATATCGAAGTTTTTCAAAAATTCCAAATTTCATACACTCACACACCAAAATACCCACACACACACACACGCTCACATACAGAGGAAGGGGGCGGGGCCACAAGCAACGTGCATCGTCTGCTGTCCATAGTTATGTGTGTGGGCGTGTGCTTGGATGTGTGCGTATGCAGTGTGTGTGTGTGCAAAGAGAGAGAGACAGAGATACAGTCGAACTTCTGTGTTTTCGGTTGTAAACGATGCAGATGCTGCACTAAGCGAATCTTTCTTTTGGTATTTATCCCCTTTAAAAGGTTTGATTGGAAAGCTATGCTGGTGTTTCTACTCTGAAGTGTTAATAACACGGAAAGTTCGCTCAGGAGAAGTTCAACTGTGGATACAGTGTGTATTGCGTGTTGTGGTACACTTGAAAAAAATGCAATTTTGTAGTTTATGATTAAGAGGTGCATTCTGTTTTCTTTTTGTTGTTGCTTGTTAATAGTTGTTGTTGCTGTTGTTGTTGCTTGTATTTATTGCTGTTGTTGTAGTGATTGCTGTTAGCTGTTATTGTTGTTGTAGTTGTAGTTGTTGTTTTTTCTGTAGTGCTCTGTTGTGCTCCCACCTTGTGATTTGGACTTTTTTAGGGACTCGTACGATGTCACTGACTGCTGTTGCTGTATAACGGATGTTTGATGCGTATACGGATGCGGATGCGGATACGGATGCGGATGCGGATGCTGATATTGATGTTGTTGCGCACCTGCACCGCTAGCACCACCACCACCGCTTGCACCACCGCACTCGCCGCCC